CGTGAGTAATGATGACCTGCGTATCAACCGAAACGCTTGTGGGAAGATGAATTGGCAGCTCCCGACTTGGGCTTGCTTCCCAACTCGGGCAGATTCTATCACGGTAAACCCGGTCTTACCAGATCTCGGGGCTGTCTGGGCTATGTTCGTATTCGATATGGCGCATGTTTTCCTATATTTGCCGCCCTGTGATACATCCCACCACCGCCCGCCATCATGGTTACAAGCAGCAGTCTCATGTGATGCCAGCACCGTCTGCTATGAGACGGGCGGTCGAGCTGAACTTCGCCGTAAGACACGGACAGGCCTGGATGATATGGCCCTTAGGTGATTTGGGAATCTTCCTTGTCTCTCTTAGCCTAGGTTGCTGCAACGCCGTGCTGGGGCATGCACGGCGCTACCTATTCTGTGTATCAAGAGGCAGATTGAAGGTTGATGGAGGAAACACGGTTGCGGATCCTCAGTAACCTGTCAGAGACAGTCAGGCGTTGCAGATAAATCATCGTCGTGTGTCGGTTCGCGCAATGCATCGTCTTAGAACCGCTGGCTCGAAAGAGCTCCTCCGCACTTGCTTGTCGTATGCTGCAAGTTGCTATCAACGGTGGAACTGTGGAATTGTCAGCGCCAAAACAGGTCGCGCTACTCGACTGGAAACTGCGTCCTGCGTGAACAGAAAAAATCGAAGGGCATAAGCAACAACATGCTCTCCATCCTGGCGGGACTCGGTACTGGCGGTGGCAGATTGCAATCGTGGACGGTAAAAAAGCGCCGTTCTGGGGATGTCGAAGAGAGCATTTCTGTCCCAGCATCAAGCTCTCACTGTGCCTCGGATTTTTGTGAGTCACCGGCGAGTGTTTAAAAGTAGCGCTTCGAGCTTCTGACAGCGTTGGCATGACGCTTTGTTCGCGATGTGCTACAAGGAAGCTCTTAAGTCCAGTCTGAAGGAGTCTGGCTGGTGAGAGATGCTCGAGAATGTGCCGGAGTTAAGTGTTAAATCCGGTGCAACCCTCCAAGATTGCCGATCAGAGGCGCAGTGCAGGGAAGGTGATCCGACTCTAAAGCTGCCCTAATGGAACAAGCCTTCACATGGAACCAAGCCGAGCGGGCATTGCCCAAGCCTCGTCGCGTTGTTGCGTCGTCAGTGTGAAGAGGGGCCTACCGTTTTAGGGATGAAGCATGGGATGTGTGAGGGGAAATGACAGACAGGTAGGTGGGTGCTCAGGTAGCGGCTGCAATTGGGGTAGCATCCTTCTGGGCAACTGCTGCCCTACGCGGCGTCGACGACGACGATGCTGGTGGCGCCTGTCCCTCGCTGACAGCGTGCATCTGGGGATAAGGTACCTGTAGGGCACCTAACCAGGTACCTTGCCTGGTAACCTAGGTAGCTAACTAGGTGGGTAGGTATGGTCGCCTGGTGTAGAGACCCTGGACTATTGAGTCAAGGTACTTCTTCCTGCTGCATCGACACTAAGCGCGCGATGCTGGTAGTGCCTTCCTCGTGCCTCAACCCTGCGCAAAATGGCTTGATGTACGTACCAGCTTTCTCTCTCGTCGTTTCTCCCCGAGCCTAAAGGGACTTTCGTCTTTCAATCCTAGGCCAACCCAAGCACTGCTTGCCTATCCCTGATATTTTCTTCCGCGCCATCGCTCTTGACTGCCCCATTTGTCACGTCTCCTTTCCATAAACACAATCATCATCTTCAAAACCATCACCCCGCACGACTCAGAGAACTGGTCCCTGCTCCGTACCGTCGCCTATCAGATCGCTGATTCGCTTCCTGAATTTGAGCAAGTGCTTTGGTAGATTTCGTGGGAGCTTACTGATGTAAGTCCAATTGCCCTCGCGTGGCCCCAATCGCATCTCACATCCAGGCGCTCTGCCGGCCACATAGCCTGTGTACACACAGTCATTGACTCTGATCTTATTTGAAAGTCGTAAGACCACAATCTGACCCGGGTCCCTCCTGTTCTTGTTGAAGCACCCAACAGCGAGGCTGTCAGATCAGTCCTGACAGCGACACCACCGCAAGCAGCGAGCGCATCTCCACCGAGTTTCGTGATCACCCAAAACTTCAAAGCTGTAGCATCGACAGATAAAGGTTTGCGCGATCTTGCGATTCATCAAGTCGCACAGGCTGTCGGACTGCGCCCTCTCTCGAGTCTCCGTCTCGAGACGCGCACAGTTGGCGGCCACACTTAAGTTTTCGTCTGTCAGCAGAGCATCTTGCGGTCAATCTCACCGCACCCCCAGTCTGCCACGGGATCATTGCATTGGCACCCAAAAAACTGTTTCCCCATTGATCCCATCCGACTCATCTTATCAGCATGAGTCCCACACCGCCAGGGACATCCTCCTCGGGTCGCTCCCCTGAGGAGCAGTTCCGTGTCGTGCGCAAGAGGAACCGAATCCCACTGAGTTGTTACCCGTGCAGGACACGAAAGTAAGCATCATTGTCTCTACTCACTGGCGAATACTATGCTAATATGTGAATGAACAGACTGTAAGAAGATTAATGCCACTCAGCATGCTCAGATGCTCAGACTAATTGCTCAATGACAGAAAATGCGACAGAAGCCACCCATGTAGCAATTGCGTCAAACGAGAGGGCGAGGATGTGTCGACATGCTCGTACGCCACTCCGTCGGCACGCAAGAAGAGTTCTACCGCTAGCGCGTCAACCCCCGATGATATGCAGAATCGTATCGACAGATTGGAAGGACTGGTGTTGTCCTTGATGCACAACGGCAGCAGCGTCGAGGTTACCACTTCGGGTGCTGCTCCAGGCGCTTCGTCCTCTTCCAGTCGAGCCAACACAACGCCCGGGGAAACCGACCCATCACCATCTGCCCTGGCGAAGCAGCAGACAGAAACAAGTATGGATGATGCGGAAGACGACGACAGCGATATCGATGATGGTCTGGCTACGTCGCTTGGCGTTCTCAAGGTCGATAGTGACAAGGGAAAGTCCATGTACATCGGACAAGAACATTGGCATCTCATCTTGGCCGACATTTCTGAGGTCAAGACGTACTTCAACAACCATAAAAAGGAACTTGAAAAGGGCTACGAGACCGTCAGAAATTCCAAACCAGCAAGCGCATCTGACGGTCCGACCCTTCTCTTTGGACAGTCGCGAGCCTCCCCAGAGCAGATTCGGGCCGGATTACCATCGAAGACAAGTATCCTTACACTATGCGGAAGATACTTTAACTCACTGGACAATACGTTGACAGTAGTCCACGTGCCAGCCTTCCAACAGCAACTTCGATCACATTTTCAAAATCCAAACGAAACCCCTCTGATGTGGCTGGGCTGTTTGTATGCAGTTCTCAGTCTTGCGCTGCACAGTTACAGCAAAGCTGGCGACGAACCACCTGAGTGGAAAGGCAGGGCGCTCGATATGGCTGCCGAGTACCGTTCGCGGACAGTACAATGTCTTCTTGAGGTCGATTACACAAAGCCGGTCGAATACACGCTGGGAAACCATGCTGCTCTATCTTAATGGAGAATATTTCAGCCCGATTCGATGCTGATATGGCACTCTGGCTCATTTAGTTCACTCACGACGAGAGTTGCATTTCGATTAGGCTATCATAGGGATCCCAAGTGGTTTCCCTCGCTGACACCCTTCCAAGCTGTACGTATAACCTCGTGCGCTTCTGTGCAGGTGTGCTGACAGATGACAACAGGAAATGCGACGGCGCGTTTGGGCAACAGTCAGGATGAGCGATATTTTCATGTCACAACACGTGGCCCTGCCAGCAATGATACACGACCAAGATTGCGACACGGAGTTGCCCAGCAATGTTTTCGACGAAGATTTCGGCCCCGAGACGGAAGTCATGCCACCACCGCGCCCCCCAACGGAGCCCACGCCGATCGCTTACGCTCTCGCAAAAGGCAGACTGGGTCTTGAGCTGGGCAACATCATACAAGTCACGGGGAGGGTCGGCAGACAGGTGCATTATGAGGAAATTCTCCGGTTCGACGCCAGGCTTCAGGGGATCATGGAGGAGTTGCCTCCACATCTCAAGATGACGCCGTTGGAAGGATCGCAAGATCCTGTAAGCCTGCTAATGTCAAGATTCAGCATCGACATCTTGTACCAGAAGATCCTGTGTGTTTTACATCGCAAGTACCTGACGCGGGCGAGAACAAACTCACGATATGCACACTCCAGGCGCACTGCGATAGAGGCCTCGTTGGTGACGCTGCAACACCTGGCCACCCTTCATCGGGAAACTCAGCCGAATGGAAGGCTGAGATCGGTTAAGTGGTACATCAGCTCGACGGCAACAAAGGACTTCCTGCTGCCTGCCATGATGGTAGTTATGGACCTGCATGTTGACAAGAGGGAGACTGGAAAGCGGCGCGAGTCAGATGGAGATTTCTTCTGGACGCCAGAGCAACGCATGAACATGATCGGCAACCTTGAACTGACAAGAGACGTCTGGAAGGGACTCGCAGACACATCAATAGAGGCGTTCAAGGCCTCCAAAGTTCTCGAGATCATGCTGGAGAAGATTAGGTCTCCTGAGCCGTCAGAACCTCTCCCTGAGAGCACAGATCCGTTCGCGGAGGCCGATACGTCTCAGGACATGCACCCCGAGCACTCGGCAGCCGTCACGCTGGGTATGCTTTCCGGCGGCATGACGCCCAACACAGCAGCGGTACTTGCAAGCATGCAGCAAGCCGATAGTCAGACCACCTTTGGCGACGTGGACTTCGGCATGTCGGGTGGCACGGGGATGACGCCCAATTTCCCGCAAGATATTGACATGAATGTGCCGCAGTCCCCGTTTTCCATGTTTGGCAACCTGGAAGCAGGCGGGGACCTGATGGCTAACTTTGACTGGGTAAGTTCACTCATGTTTTGTTTAGGGTGAGTGAGTAGTGACTGACAGCTATGCAGAACGCTTTCGAAAGTTACACGCAAAGCGCGAATTGGGGTACTGAGAACGGCTTTGGCTTTCTGGCGCCTCAGCCACCAGACCAGGCGCCAAACAGCCAAGCACAGCAACCCAACAACGGTAACAAGGGATACACATATCCCAATCCCAATGCATCTGGTTTGTAGAGCCAGGTTGATGTACATTACGAATTGATGATGATTCCGTCAGGGGAGAAAATATGGAAACGAAGGCAATAGGCGGTCTATATCCAACGGAAGGCAATCACAACTTTTAGGACATTTTGGTTAGAGATTAGGGAGGCTTCTTGGACTCGACAAATCTCAATCTATTCCTCTCTTACTCCACCACCAGCCCGTTGATTTTGATTTAGGACATGTAACTTGCAGAAACAAGTGAGCGACATAGACGAGGACTGCGAACGAGGCAGACCTCTGGAGGCGAACCCCGCCTCGGGCGAGCCATCGCATTGCCGGCCACTCATCCATGGTCGGCATCGCGGGGGTAGCTGCATGATAGATTGCCGCGCGAGGTTTCACGTCATAGTCCCCCGCGTTTCTGCCCCATGGTTGCCTATGTCCTTCACCGAGAGGCCTGGAAAGCCGCCTTGGTGGGATGTCGAGTCAGCTTTTGATCGTGAATAGGTGATTGTGATTAGTGGAGTCTTGGCTGTCGGAGCAGAGAAAGCCGAAAGAAATCGAGAATGTCTACGGGGGTGCTGTGAAGATTTCGGGAGGAACCTAATCGGTACATACTGAGACGGACAGCCTTAGTTGATGAGCAGGGCTTCTATAGCTGGCCATTGGACACGGCAGGCTGATGGAAACGGAGCTGCGTTAGATTCATAATCCAGCTAGTTCTGCCGATATTTCAAGACCTTGAGTGGATTCTATTTCATTCAAAATTGTTCATCACGGAGCAGGGCACGTGGAACCAGGGACTGCCAATAACGAACTCGGACGGCTGGTTCAGACTGTAACACGAAACACCCTGCTTCTCGTCAACGAGCTAACCCTCGCCACTAGATCCGATACATGGCTTTAAGATCGAGCATGTCTCTAGAATCCGGGTCTTTGTGGTCGGTATCGGTCATCATTACTGTGACTGGAGTCATACGTGTTTGGGCTCCAGATAGCTTACCTGCGGACCCTGAGCCTCCGTTGCCCGACACCACCGAGCAGTCACACGTGCTCGAGCATGTCTTGGCCACTATGAGCTTCCTTTTCTGGGCCTCATGGAGACTGACGTTAAAGTGCCCTGCCGGGGTGCGAACCTGATCTACTGGTCGTCAATGCCTTTGCACATGTCACGATTGGTGGGATAGGGGTTGGAAGCATGATGACACCCAGAACCAAGGTTAACCCCGCGATGTACCGAGATCATATTGTTCAGCAGTTTTCTTGGCTTTGGAGCTTGGTTTGATGAGGTATGTGTGCCAGAGAGGTTCGCGAGCTCCCAAGTGAGCATCACGCCTCAGTATGGGACGCATGAGTATAAATTCGACGTTCGCCACTGTCTTTTGTCGATCTCAGAACACAGAAGGAAAACACGAAAACATCATCATCTATATCAAGATGCCTTCTTTCAAGTCCTCCCTTCTGGCCGCGGCCGTCACCTCCCTGGTAGGCGTGTCAGCGCACTACAACTTTGAGTCTCTCATTGTCAACGGCGAGGTCACAGGTCCGTACCAGTACGTGCGCTCGACGACCAATTCAAACAGCCCCGTCGAGAATGTGGCCTCGGCCTCCATGACATGCAACCAGGGCGGCAACAACGCCGACATTCGCGCCCGAACCGCCACGCGCACCGTCCAGGCTGGCGACGAGCTCGGCTTCGCCGTCAACGCCGACCTCGGCCACCCGGGGCCCCTCTCGGTGTACCTCTCCAAAGCCCCCGGTGCGGCGAAGGATTACGTCGGCGACGGCGACTGGTCCAAGATTTACGCCCTGACAACGCGCCGCTTCGACCCCAACACGGGCGTCGACTGGGCGCCCTTTCCCGCGAGCATCGGCATCAAGAACTTTACCTTTACGCTGCCCGCGCAGACGCCGCCGGGCGAGTACCTCCTGCGCGCCGAGCACGTCGGTCTGCACGCCGCGCAGAACGTCGGCGGCGCCCAGTTCTACATTGGCTGCGCGCAGATCAAGGTCGAGGGATCGGGCACGGGCACCCCTGGTCCCACGGTCAAGATCCCCGGCGTGTACACGGGCCAGGAGCCCGGGCTCAAGATCAACCTGTACTGGCCGCCTGTCACAAGCTACACGGCGCCGGGGCCGGTGACGTGGCCGAACAGGTGTGAGGACCACACGGCGAACCTGAATGGTCGGGCGAGCGATGGTGACTGTACCCCGCTGCAGTAGATCCTAGGGCAGGTCAATGAGAAAGGCTGTTTGCTTTTTGATGCGCATGGCCTGATTTGGTGTAACTAGCCAGCTTCATCTTATTCCCAGTTCCATGAGTCAATAAATGGAGAAATGAGTACGATAATTGCAGCTCTCTGTAAGGTGTGATTAGGTGACTTATAAGTGGCGTGGAAGAAGTAGGTGATGAGATCTTGTCCTGCTCATGAGCTGAACAATTTCGTCAACACGGACTGTCATGATTGACTAGCATGACCCATATCCAATGCTTGATCGGGTCTGTCGGCCAAATTACTTTTGTTTGAATATCATGAGTGATACCAGGGTAGGTATTCTGATCAAGGTGAAATCGCTCATAGACTCGTCATTATGCTCAACAGCCTCGTAATCGAACAAAAGGATACGTAACAGCATGATTGAAACACCTGTTACGAACTTTGAATATAGTCAGAAGAGACATGTATTTTTTGCCTTCTTTTCATACACTTCCGTATTGCCATATTTGCATGAAGGTCTCACGGCGAATTAGTATTGCCAATATTCTGATTGCAACAACAATCGTCTCGCCTCACTTAGAAACCAGGGGGGCTATCCGGCTAGAGAGAGCATGAATCACCTGTAGCCGATGGCCCAGATTGTACCCGGATGACTCGCCTTCCACCATTCAGCCCCATCCGCTCGAGATACCCTGACAGAGTGGGCATGCCCTTGAGCAGAGACTCTACTTAACAGTAAACCATCATCCGTACCTCCAACAGCAAAAGCCACGTAGCTCAGTGGTAGAGCGCCCAGGTTTCTTCCTCCTAGAATCCTTTCCGCTCTCGTAGACCTCAAGGCCAAAAATGGTCATCTTCTTCCCTGGGAGGCCGGTGGTTCGATTCCACCCGTGGCTGAGCATCTTTTTTTCAAAGCAGCATATCTCCTTGAAATCAACACCCGATTCATATTCAATGAAAACAGAACGGGTTTTACGCGGACAGAGCAGATATTGTCATTGATATGACACCGTGCCCCAAGCCCCACGTCAGACATGCTATGACGAAGAAGAAGAAGACGAAGGTAAAGGTTGGACGAAAAAGAAGCCCAAACAACACAAGTCCCCGGTCAATAATTCCCGACCTGATGTGCGGAATACCTAGATGCCAAATGCATCCTTGGCCCGCTGCCAGTAGGCCACCCTGTCGTCGGTGACCTCCGTACCGACGCACTCGGACAGATACTTGTTAAGTCCCTCACGGCTGCCGGACTGCAGCGCTGTCCGGACGCTGGCGTCGCACTGGGTCGTCAGGAACCAGGCGGCCGAGGCCCACGAATACTTGTCTGGCAGTACGAGCTCGAGGACCTTGTTCTTCTGGTCGTCGGTCAGGCTGTCGGCACCGGCGCCGGCGGTGATGCTCTCGGCCTCGGCACGCAGCTCGGGCACGTCGAGAGCGTAGGCGAGGTTAAAGTTGATCATCTGCAGGTTGCGGGTGCCCTGGCCGGGGCGGCCGGGCGCGGGGAAGTGGTTGCGGTTGTACTTGAGATCGCCCGTCTCAAAGGCGATGAGGGAGAGGAGGGCCGCGATCTCGGCCGGAGCGTAGACCTTGTGGTCGCTGAAGGCCTTGATGAGGTAGGGGGCTGCCTGGGCGGCGGTGCGACACTCGGTGGCGAAGTCAGCCGCGGAATCGCATGATGACGACTTGGGCGCCGTCGCGAGGATGATGGACTCGGCGGAGGGGGCCGCCGTCTTGGTGGGGCCGCGTGGTGCGAGGGGTGCCGCGAGGGCGGTAGCGACGAGCAGAGTCGCGGGTAGCATAGTAGAGAGATGCATTTTTTGACGAGCGTTAATGTTGAAGATGATGTCAGATGTCGGGTCAGACGTCGGGTTTTAACGTCTTTCGGGTTTGTGTCACTCGAGAGTAACCGGCAGCGTCTCGCTAAATAGTGCTGAGCGGACGTATGTTGTTGATACACGAAACAAAGATAGTAACCGTTGGAGAACCAGCCTAACAACAACAGCGGAGAACCAGCACAGCCTGTGAGCACAGAGCACAACGGGAGTGAAGAAGAAAGAGAGTGAGCGACTGAGCGAACGAGAGACAGGCAGGCGGACGAAAAGAAGAGCGGCTTAGCAAGGAAAACGAGAGGCGGTGTACAAGGTCAGGTCAGCACAACTATCGTCACAATGGCCAAGGCGGAGTCTTATACGATGCAGACAGCCTCTCACTGCTGGCTGCTGACGGCCGGCTGCTGGCTACTAGCTCAGCAAGGTCCAGCCTGTCCTAACGCTCACCAACCCCCTGAACAAGGAGGGTCTAGCGATGTCCCGCGCCAGTGCAGTGCAAGCGCAGCCATGGTGGCTGCTTGGTGCGGAGGGGAGTCTCGACTAGCAGCATTCCTCCCTCGCAGTCAACCATGTACCAGCCAGTCACGATCAGCCGTCGTGCGCCGCTGGCGGATGGCCGGCACAGGATACTGGCGAGAAGGAAGTGGGAAAATGGGGCGAGCAGCGGAGCAAATGGCTGTCGAGTCTTGTCTTTCAGCAGTGGTGGTTTGACGAGAAGAAAAGACCATGGCGGGTTGAAACATGACAGGCGCCGAGACCTCTCGAAACAAAGCCGGCTCTGGAACCTGATTGGATGGTGCGTCAGAACACGAGCTCAGGGATCGGCTGTGACGGCTTCTGGGCCTTTGAGAACCATGTCTCTGGGCCTTTGAGAGCTGTGCCCCTACGTCTCTGTGCTGAGGTGCCCAGTGGTTGGGATGGTGTCAGCTGGACAGGTCGGCGGGAGATGGGCTCGGCGTACCGGGCTGTGGTCAGCATTGTCAGTCCAGGGATGTTGTTCGTTACAGGATGATGGAAATGGTGCACAGCATCAACAGCATCCAAAGCAAGGCGCAGGCGATCGAGAATCGACACTTGAGAGTCCTGATCACCTGACCCCCAGCCCCACCTCGTTCATTGACCCCCACAAATTGAACCCCCATGCCACTCATGGACGAGGCTCCCAACGCGCCTTGTCAATCAATCGCCAATCGCAATGCATCCCACCTGCAACACCACCGTACCGTCTATCGCAATCGACGCACCACTTGCCCCCATCATCGACGCGCAACATGGCCGAAAACGTGGCACCCACGACAGGCATCGCCGGCGCCACGCCGAGCCTGCAAATGTACAAGCAGGAACAGGTCAAGCTCAAGGCCATGCTCGAGCAGCGCAACCAGGTCGCCCGCCGCCTCGCCGCCATCGAATCCGACATTGAGACCAAGGAGGCCGCCTACCTCGACTCGACGCCTCACGGCAACATCATCGCCGGCTTCGACAACTACATCAAGGGGCACCAGCGGGCGCCGGCGCCCAGCGCCGCAAGCAGGGCAACACGGAGCAGCACCGCGTCTTCTCGCGCTCCAGCATCTCCTATCGCCCCGGCAGTGCACGTTCACCCCGACCCTTTCATCCAACCTTTCACGGAGAACAGGGGCAGATGGCTAACACGTAGTGTAGGAGGTCACGACGCCTGGATCTGTCGGTTCGACCCCCGCATCCCACGCACCGACGCCCATGTCTACTTCCTTCAAGGACAAGGATGGTGCGACGCCGACGTCGACGACGGCTGGCAAGGGCAAGAAGAATAAGAAGCAGAACGAGGAGGACAGTGAGGCCGAATCCCACGCACCGAATAAGAAGCGCATCAACTTTGGCGCCGCGCGCAAGTGAAGTTGCTGATCTGGGAGGATGGCGTTTCAAGGTCGATGATCGAGATGATTCCAAAAAAAAAAGAAACGGGCAGGCAGCAGGGGTTTGGGATTTGGGAGCGGCGTTTGGGCGTATGATTTTCGATACCCGGGTCAAATCTACAGGCAGTGTCTTGCTGGATGAACACCAAGTTCCGTTCGTTGTCGTTGCGGGAGCTTGCCTGCTAACCGACATGTTTGGTGAGGTCCTGGTGACTTGAGCATGTTGCGTCGGCAGAAGTTCTCGGTGATCAGTTTCATGAATAGTATCGTTGCAATTTTTGGTGTACCACAATCTTCTTGGGAAGGACTAGGGGGTGGATGGAGTTTGTTCAGGTCCAGAGCCAGAGTCTCATCAGGACAGGCCTGGTATATGGTGTACGGCCTTCTCAGCCCGATAGTCACCTACTGAGTCGACGACTTGATAGAAGGTTCAACATCATTTCTTGGGCATACTGTCATTGAAGAGACCCAATTGTTCGACATGGGTTTCATGCGAGAGCTCCCCACGTCATTCTCTGACCTCGGGGCGCATCAGCCAAGGTATAATATCAAGAGGCTGGCGAGCTTGCTGTTGGTCCATCACGTGCTAAGAATCAATGCCAGCCTCTGATCTCCTCAGTGTCGAGAGGTCGCGTCTGTGTTGTCTGCCACTCAACTTGTCCTCGCCGCAGTTCAAGTTTGAGTCAAGTGAATTACGCAATTCAATGCCCCAGTGTTGTGATTGTCTGAGCAGCGTATGCATTCAATCCACGTAAAAGTGCCTAACATGCTCTCTACATAACACAAGACCACTGGACAACAAAGCTTCTCGGGACGCCCAGCTTCCGAAGCAACCCTCGAAAAGTACTCACTGCAGCTTGACGAGCCATTGACAGTCATGATCAACTGTGATCGGCATCAGGAGCTGATTGACTCCCGGGTGCTCTGGCGCAACAATATAGCAAGGCAAATACCCACCGACGATCGGTCAGTATAAATGCCTCGGTACATGACGTCAAGCTGGTCTTCTTGGCCTCTTCTTAGACGAAGGAAATGGACTGGGTTGAATCACTGGCCATGTCACGATGCCGTACTCCCGGACGCGACTCCACTGTTGGGGCGTCGGGCAGGGGGCACCTTTTGCCATCAGACCCTTAGAACAGGCCCCCATCTGGCTTTGGTAGGGTCTGCACCTGGTATACGGAGCGGCAGGTTCAGCCGGAGAGCAACAAAACACAACGAGCTGCCCGACAAGAATCGACTGCATGTGCTGCGCATAGCAGTCACACAACCATGTGCTGTGTAGGAGCCATGCACTCAACTAGCCGAATGCTGGGTTTGGTCATTGCTTGTCTTCCGGGGCCTAGCGGTGCCTGGATTCTCAAGCCTCCTTCTATTTTTATGGGAATTGCTGGGGAAGTGGGGGTGACGGCCCAGCTTGCAAGCAAAGTCCAATACGGCGTCGCCGTCACTACACACACCTCGTGACGGTGTTCTGGCAGGGAAAAGGAAATACGATCTGCACAGCAAGGTTCCATCGGGTTTCAGTATCGCCCCTGGGCTAGCTCCTAATCCGATGTTGCCGCCATTCGCGAATGACTATGATCAGCTCCCAGTTGAAAGACCGAACAGCAAATTCTGACTTCAAGCTGACGTATGGCCCCCTGAACTAGTACTGCCGTGCCTGTTCCAGACAAGGACAGGACCACGAGGTGGTACTTCGAACTCCAGGGCAGTGTTGATTGTTTGCGCACATCGAAAGCGTTGTTTCTTCCCTGGGTTGCCTGGGCTTCGAGACAAAGTGCCTTCCATCAAGGAAGGCCTCCATGACGGGCTTGCCGAAGAAGGCTTGACTCACGACGGCAATCAAGACACGTATGTTGACGGGCGTGTACCCTACCTACTGTGCATGACGCACCCCAGGCTGGCCGGTACTTCGGTATCAGCGCCTGGGAATAGCATAGCCAGGCAAAGTGGTTCAATACGAGATTGCCCCAGCGTAGCACTAGCTCCTCGGTAGCTGACACGAGAAGGCCAAAAATGGAAATCGAACAGACCAGGGAGACAGAACGAGCTCACGAGTCAAGCTCTTTCCGTGGGGACGGCAGCGAGTTTATTCCGTATAAGAACGTTCTTGAAGTTTGCTCTGAAGGACCGTATCCTTTTTGCTCCATCATTCAACAACGCTTTCACAAGCCAACTCAGCAACCTCTCACATTCGTTCTCAACAGACCACTTACACACTCCCCTCTCTCGTCATGTTCGCCAAGAACCTCGTTGTCGCGCTGGCGCTTGCCAGCTTCACGTCGGCCATTCCCCTCGACGCTCGGGATGACGACTGCCAGGCAACCTACAGCACCTGCATCTCCGACGGCACCCCCGAGGTTGTGTGCTCGTGCGCCCTGACGGCCTGTGTGGGTGAAGACAACGCCCGCAACCGCGAGTACTGCGCCAGCGCCATCGCGTCCCTTGATCCGACGCCGACCTCCATCCCCGGCGGCTGCAACCCGGCTCACCCTGGATCCTGCCCTGAGACCACGTCCACCGGTATTCCGGGTGGCTGCAACCCTGCTCATCCCGGCTCATGCCCAGAAACGACGACCGGTATTCCGGGTGGCTGCAACCCGGCGCACCCGGGCTCCTGCCCCGAGCCCACGTCGACCGGGATCCCGGGCGGCTGCAACCCCGCCCACCCCGGATCTTGCCCGGAGACAACAACCGGTATTCCAGGCGGTTGCAACCCTGCTCACCCTGGGTCTTGCCCCGAGCCCTCGTCGACTGGCATTCCCGGCGGTTGCAACCCTGCCCACCCGGGCTCCTGCCCTGAGCCTACCTCGACAGGAATCCCCGGAGGCTGCAACCCTGCTCATCCCGGCTCGTGCCCTGAGCCCACCACATCTACTGGCATCCCCGGGGGCTGCAACCCGGCGCACCCCGGTTCCTGCCCTACGCAAACAACCGTCACCCAGCAGCCGGCGGCCAACACCACGGTGCCGGTGCCTCCCATCGGTACCAACGGCGCCGGGCGCAACGCGGTGGGCCTTGTGGCCGTTGCCGGCCTTTTCGCTGTCGTTCTCTAGACGCGTCGTACATAGAATATAGTATAGAATAATGGTTAATGTACATTCATGAACGCTCTCTTATTTTCGAACCACGTGTGTACACGGAGGGGCACGTGTTGAGTCGATACAGAGCGGCTTGACCTACGTGTATATCGGTGCATCTGGTCAAAGAACAAATCTCACAATCAAGTTGTGGCTGGAGGTCTTGCCGGATAAGTGGCAATTCTAGTACCTTGCTACTCCATGCCGGAGCTTGGTGTCGCGCTCTATCTAGGTGCCTACGCGGAACATGCTCTGCGAAGAAGACATTCGTTGACAGCGTGGTCACTCACCAATTGTGCAAGGTCTTGCGTGCACATCGTATTCCACCTCGACTTTGGAGTCGACAGCCTGAAAAGCCATTGGCCAACACAACGGACTGCAAGATACAGATAAGGTGTCTGGTGCCGTTGGCAAGCACGACATGCCATGCCATGCCGATGGCAAGCACGACTGACATGCCGATGTGAGCCAAGCCGGGATCGGCGCTTGCCACATGCTGCAGACGTACTGCGGCAGCAGCCACCA